CCCCTCCCCGCTCCTTTCCTCCTGTTGTCCCGGCCCTGAAAAGGAGAAGGCAGGCCAGGTGTGTCCTCCCCGCCAAGGAGGACCAGGCATCGCAAAAATGGAGGGCATTCCAGAACAGATGGAGGACATGACCCAAATTCATTTTTTTTTCCAAAAAACAAAACAAAAGAACCCACTCCTAGAAATGCAAACTCAGGCTTCTTAGTCCTGCTCCGACTGGAGGACGTTTTGGAATTCTTCCCCGGTCCAAATTCTACTGCAGAAACGATCCGGTTTAAGACCCTGCAGGGCTCAGTGGTAGAGAATCCCGGGGATTGTAGTTTGTTGTGGGACAGAGAAGGACAAATGTCTCGCAAAACAGCGCTGAGCTGGGCAGTTAAAGTTAAAGCGGTCTCAAACTGGATTGTTCATGAGGTGCGTTTGGGACAGAAGGTGGAAATGGAGGACCTGTCCTGCAAAAGGAGGACGCCCGGACCACCTGCAGGCACGTGTCTTTTCCTCACACCCAGACCCACACACACACACAGAGCCCTTTTGCGAAGAAGCGCATCCTTGAGGCTGGCCAGAGGAAGGGACCGAGGGCCTGGGATCCCTCTCCCTCGGGTCTGAATGAGGGGTGGATGATGGGACTTTTGGGGAGGTTAAGAAGAAATGACATTGCTTTGGAGGAGGCGGGTGGAAAGAGAAACACAAAACAACAACACACCAGCCTTCAACCAAAGATCAGCCCAGCAGCCTTGGGGGAATTTCAGCTGTTTCTCTTGGTCTGGAAAGAGAGATGCGAGAAAACCACTCCTTGGTATATATATCTTTCTGCGGTCACGAATTGGATCGAAAGGCGGTCGAGCTTCAGGGATTCAAAAGGCTCACGTTAAGGAACGCGTTAAGGCGTTGCTGTTGTTCTTGTTGTTGCTGTTGTTGTTGTTGTCAACGCGTGCTTGTCCCTTCATAAGAGCCCCTTAGATTCCCTCCAGCTCTTTCTTTCAAGGAGAACTGTAAAACGTTGATGAAAATGTTAAACTCGTAAAACTTCTCTGAATGCAGAAAAAGAAATGCTAAATAAATCCAATTACCTGCCCTAGATTGTTTTTTTTAAAAAACAACAAAACAAAAAACTACTAGGTAAAAAGGCTTAATTTCCTCAACAAAGGTCCAAAATACACTGCAGAAATAATCCAGTTTGAGACCGCTTTAACTATCATAGCTAAATGGTATGAAATTCTGGGAACTGCAGTTTTGTGAGACATTTTAGCCTTCTCAGTCAGAGAGCTCTGA